CCTTTCTCTCTGCTTAGCTTCTTCATTCCCTCTTGACTGGGCTATTGGACTCACTTCCTGAATATTTCCCTGCTTCTAGGCTCTTCCAGGCCTCCTGTATGGATTTGCCCTCCTAATTGTTTACATACATCACTCCCGGGATTAGTTACTTACTTGTCTGTGTAACAAGTCACCCCAGGGCGTGGTAATTAAAACAAATATCTCACATAGTTTATGGGGGTCAAAAATCTGGGAGCAGCCTAGCTGGTTGGTATTGGGTTAGGATCTCTGGAGGTCCAGCCAAGATGTGAGTCTAGACTGCCATCATCTGAAGGCTTGGCCGGCTGCACAGTCGGCTTTCAAAGGGGCTCCCTGGCAGGAGGCCTCAGTTCCTCATCACACAGCAGTATGTCCTTTGGTGTCCCCACCACCTAGCAGCTGGCTTCCTCAGAGAGTAATCCAAGAGAGAGCTAGGGCAGAAGCCGTGTGTCTTTTAGGACCTGCTCTGTCATCACCCTCTGCCCTTTCCTTCTGTCTTTCTTTAAAATTTTTAATGTTTGTTTATTTTTGAGAGAGAGACGGAGCGCAAGCCAGGGAGGGGCAGAGAGAGAGGGAGACACAGAATCAGAAGCAGGCTCCAGGTTCTGAGCCATCAGCATAGAGACTGACATGGGGCTCGAACTCACAGACCTCGAGACCATGACCTGAGCTGAAGTTTAACCAACTGAGCCACCCAGGCGCCCATACCTCTGTCATTTCTGCAATACCCTAGTGGTCTCACAGGTGAGCCCTCTTCAGTGTGAGAGAGGATTCCACAAGGCTGTGACTCCTAGGAGGTGAGAATTGCTCTGGGGCCATTTTGAGGCTGGCTGCCACATTCTTAAAAACTTTTGATTTCTTAACATTGTCTACAGAATAAAACCCCTGAGCCTGATACTCTGACCGCAGCCTGCCTCTCTCCTCTCAAACTCAAGAGCCCAGTTAGACTTTCCCCCACAATCTCATTTTTATCTTTGCTTGCAAAGATGGCTTTGCTTCGTTTCTGAATGGTCAAATTCCAACCTACTCTTCTGGTCCAAATCTTTTCTATGGATTCTTCCCAATAGGAAGTCATTTTGCCCAAAACTTTTTTTATCATGCTTATCACTTTCTATCATGTTTTACTATATACATAGTATGTACTACTTTCTATTACATGCATGTGTAATATGGATGAATTACCATAATTTGTTTCCAAGTTTCAACTTCTCTACCAGGTGGAAAATTCTGTCCTAGCACAGACACGCCCAGAGTATCAAACACCAGACCTTAGGCATAGGGGATGCTCAGTCAAGATTTACGGTTTGAATGGTTATCAGTGGCCATTTTTCTTTTCATTTCTTTTTATTTTTTTCTAAATATTGATTGTTTTGGGGGAGAGCACAAATGGGGGAGGGGCAGAGAGAGGGGGACAGAGGATCCAAAGCGGGCTCCGTGCCGACAGGCAGACAGCAGAGAGCCCGATATGGGGCTCGAACTCACGAACCATGAGATGGTGACCTGAGCCAAAGTCGGACACCTAACCGACTGAGCCACCCAGGCACCCCATCTTTTCATTTCTTAATTGAAACCATCTGTCATCACACAACACTATTGCAATACCACTGGCGGTATTCCCTATGTTGTACCCTTTATTCCCCGGGACTTACTCCACAACTGGAAGCCTACCTCTCCCTCTCCCCCTCGCCCATTTGGCCGATCCCCCCACCCTCTTCTGCTCTGGCATCCACCAGCTCTCTGTATTTATGGGTCTGTTTTTGCATTTTGTTTGTTTTTGAGATTCCACATATAAGTGCAATTGTATATGTGTCTTTCTCTGACTTATTTCATGTATAATCCTCTCTAGCTCCATCCATATTGTTGCAAAAGGCAAGATCTCATTCTCTTTTGTAGCCGAGTAATATTCCAGTGCCTATATATACACCACATCTTCTTTTTCCATTCATCCATGGACGTACACTTGGGCTGCTTCCAAATCTTGGCTGTTATACACGATGCCACCATACACAGGGGTGCATTTATGTTTTTGAATTCGTGTTTTCATTTTCTTTGGGCAAATACCCGGTGGGGGGATTACTGGATCATATGGTTTTTTTATTTTCAATTTTTTGAGGTACCTTCATATGGTTTTCCAGAGTGGCTGTACCAATTTACATTCCCACCAACAGTGCATGAGCGTTCCTTTCTCTCCACGTCCTCGCCAACACTTATTTCTTGCCTTTTTAAGTCTAGCCCTTCTAACAGGTGTGAGGTCATATCTCATTATGGTTTTGATTTGCATTTCCCTCATGGCGAGTGATGTTGAGCATCTGTTCACGCGTCTGTTGGCTTCCTGTGTATCTTCTTTGGAAAAAATGTGTATTCGGGTCCCCTGCCCATTTTTTAATTGGATCATTTGTATCTTGGTGTTGAGTTGTATAAGTCTTTTATATATTTTATGCATTAACCCCTTAGTGGACATATCCTTTGCAAATATCTTCTCCTATTCAAGAGGTTGCCTTGTTTTGTCGGTGGTTTCCTTTGCTATGCAAAACCTTTCACGTGGATGTAGTCCCAATAATTTCTTTCTGCTTCTGTTTTCCTTGCTGAGGAATCATATCTAGAAAAATGTTGTTACAGCTGATGTCAGAGAAATTACTGCCTATGTTTTATTCTAGGAGTTTTATGCTTTCTGGTCTCACAGTTAGATCTTTAATCCATTAAAAAAATTTTTTTTAATGTTTGTTTACTTTTGAGAGAGAGAGAGACACAGAGTGTGAGCGGGGGAGGGGTAGAGAGAAAGGGAGACACAGAAACCCAAGCAGGCTCCAGGCTCTGAGCTGTCAGCACGGACCCTGACGTGGGGCTTGAACTCACGATCCTCAAGATGATGACCTGAGCTGAAGTCGGATGCTTAAATGACTGAGCCACCCGGGTGCCCCAGATTTGCAATCCATTTTGAGTCTTGTTTTGTACATGGTATGAGAAAGTGGTCTCAATTCACTCTTTGGCATGTATCTGTCCAGTCTTCCCACCACCATCTACTGAGAGGCTGTCTTTCCCCCTTTGTGTATTCTTGCCTCCTTTGTTGTAGATTAACTGACCATGGAAGTGTGGCTTTAATGGACTGTCTGTTCTGTTCCATAGATCTATATGTCTGTTCTTCTCCCAGCACCATACTCTTTCGATAACTACAGCTTTGTAGTAGATCTTGAAATCTGGGATTGTGATGCCTCCAGCTTTATTTCTGTTCTTCAAGATGGCTATTCAGGGCCTTTTGTGGTTCCATACAAATCTTAGTGTTATTTGTTCTAGTCCTGTGAAAAATGCTGTTGGCATTCTGATAGGGATTTCATTGAATCTGTAGATTGCTTTGGGTAGGATGGACATCTTAACGACATTAATTCTTAATCCACGAGCATGGAATATCGTTTCATTCGTGTTGCCTTCAGTTTCTTTCATCTGTGTTTTATAGTTTTCAGAGTGTAGGTCAGGTCTTTCACCACCTGGGTTAAATTTGTTCCTAGGTATTGTTTTTGATGCAATCGTAAATGGAATTGTTTTCTTAATTTCTCTCTTATTTTATTAGTGTATTAGTGTATTCCATATATTTCTGTATTCCATGTATTCTGTATTCCTTGTATTTCTGTATTCTATTAATGTATAGAAGTGCAACCGAGGGGCGCCTGGATGGTTCAGTTGGTTAAGTGTCTGATTTTTGGTTTTGGCTCAGGTCGTGATCCCAGGGTCATAGGATTGAGCTCTCTGCACTGAGCATGGAGCCTGGCTTCGGATTCTCTCTCCCTCTCTCTCTGCCCCTCCCCTGCTCGCATTCTCT